GTGCAACATCCTTACCTGCTGCCTGCCTGAGAGCAGTGAGAATGTGCTGCACTACACACATATGGAGAAATGCATTTTCTCCATAGATGTGAGATTTTCTTTTAATTGAAAGAATCTTCTTTTCAAACTCATTACTTGTTCCATACTTGATGCAGCTAAAGCTACTTAAAGCACACACTAGTTAGTTTTGATAAGTTATGATATAAGCTGCTACTACAGTTCCCCATTCCACTTAGATCAGGACTGACTGCATACAGGAGAGTTAGGTAGGAGAATGAAGGAGATGAAAGAGGAGAGACTCTTTCATCTCCTTCATTCTCCTACCTAACTCTCTAATTTCCTTCTTCTGGCAACAATTACAGTGAAGCACTGTAGCATCAGTAAGGTTTCACATTTACATGGTTACAGTTTCTCTGACCAAAATCCCCAAGACCTTATAGGGACCTTTTTTTGGGTTTTAGTAATTGTTATCATAGTGCCTAACTCTCCCTTGTTCCCACACGTGTATAATCATTGAAACCTCACACAAAGTAGATGGAAAACACTATCAGAGCAGCATGATAATTTAGTTCTCATCTAATTTTGTAAATGATTGTGTTGTGAGTCAGGCTGTAAAGGGCAGTACTTGTCATACCATCTGGTTTAATACACTGATGTACTGAGCAATGGAGCTCCATAAGGTCCATCTTTTCCACTGTGTACCATCTTATTTTTTAAATATCTCTATTAATATGAACAGATATATTTTCAGTGTAAAGCATTACTAAATCCAGGACTGCAATTATAGCAATACAAATAGTTTTAGTGTTTCCAGTAATTAATTATTTATTTACAACAGAAGGTAAAAAAATCCCAACTTGTCAAGTGCTGATAAAGAGTTTAGTGTCAACAACTTACAAAACATTTGGGTACCTGAAAATAGTGGTAAAGTGTCTTCTCTTATTTTTGTTGACAGGTGGAAGGGGCTGGGTTTCAGCTACCAAGTTAAAATTATTCCCTCTGCATTTATTTAAGATGTTGACTGAGTTATGACAGCTTTTTTGATAAAGTTACAGATGCAGTTTTTATAAAAGTCATATATCCATTTCCTGATATAGAAGATTTTCCAGAAATTTATTATACACAAGGGACAAAATTAACTTTACAACAAACTGCCAGCATCAAGTAGCCAATGTGAAACACACACACAATTGTTACAAGATGAAATTTGTATAGCATTTTCAATCTATAAAAGCCTTGTCCTTACCCAGCAACTCTTAAATAGATGCATGATTGTAAACTGGCAAACAGTTTCAATGAAACCCACGACACTATTAATTTACTTCAGTTATGCTCAAGGGCTTTGTTGCATCATAATTTGTGAGGATGTTGCAGCATAAATCCCTGTAAAGGTCTATGATTGTAACTGATTATTAGCCTAATTATTGCCTGTATTGTGTTGGAAAGCTGATGCAGTATGTATGTTTATTCACTATCAAAGTGCTAAAGTTTTTTTTTTAATAAAATCCAGTCCATTAGCACTGATGGGCTTTGATTTATCAGAGCTCCAAACTCATAAGCTTTATGATTTGCTTTAAAGAACTTTTGTTTTAAGGGCCTATCCATAAATTACCTGAACAGGCACAGTTCCTGATACTGAAGCCTGCAATTCCAGCTATGATCAAGGGAAGTGTCAATAAGAAAACTAAGCTGCCCAGGAGCAAAGTGGAGGTGATCAGCAGTTACAGGCAGACATACTTCAGTGGTTTAGAAGTTGCAGTCCTTTTGAAGAATTTTTTTTTTTTTTTTGAAAATTAAAAACTCTGATCACAGTTACACCCTCTCTTACTATTCACTTCCAGTTATATAAAGAGAGTGTGATATAGTCTCATGCTTAACTACTTGAGTACTAAAAACTCAAAGTAAAAAGCAGTTAATGACAACAAAGGAGCTTGTAAATTACCAGTCAATAACCTGAGTTATCCATGTGGTTGGCAAAAACTAACACAAAAAATTTCCTTTTTTAACAGGACGCTATAGTCTTTGAGATTACTGGCACAAACCATAACAATTAATTACAGCAAGATTCAGGCTCTGTCTTCAAAATTAAAAGCTCAGCAAAGAATACTTGTATCTGTAGTCTCACCAAACTCCCTCTAAGAAATATGAAGACATTAAGTCTCCTAATAAGATGTTAAGATATATCATAGTGCAGGTTATGATGTCTTTTTTAAGGTCTAACAGCCACTCACCATTGCTGCCCTAGCTTTGAGCAATTGACCCAAAGTCACCAGTAGACTTTCTTAGGAACTGGAGGGGATATTCTGGGTGCTGAAGTCCAGTCTGTGCTACCTCAGACAACCATATCACACAGCATGTTCACAAATTCATCCTTTCCTTTATAATATTTGATATATCTTTCTACATCTCATTATTCATGAGGTGTTACTACCACTTCTCTAATAGTCAGAAAGTATTTTCTGATTCCCAGTGCACAATAATTCCTGGCCATTTAAACCAATTTCTTTCCACACCTTTTAAGTTAGTGCTCTTCCTGCTGCTCATACATTTTATGTGTTCAGAGAGGACAAGTGTACTCCATTAAACAGCTTCAAAAGCTCCTTCAGCCTCCATCATAAAACAGTTTCCTCTGCCACCTCTGTAATCTTGTTCTTTCTTTTTCTGGTTTTGAATTCCTGTTTGAAAAACTTTGTGCTAAAGCAGAAAGCCAGGTGCCAAGACTTAGGATCGACACGTCTCATTAAATAATTTTCAGTTTATAAAACAAAGAGAATCCTTAAGCAAATGAAAAATCTTACCGCCTGGTTCCAGTTGACAGCAATTCTATTTGCATAACCAAAGAGGAACACAGAGAGGAAGACAATGGAGAGGAACCACGCCGTCACTGCCACAAACATTACCCATCCCTGCAGCAGTGCCAGTGGAATTTGGGTAGAGGCGACCAAAATCCAGACTATTGTTCCAAACAGCTGCAAGGAAAGGAATACAGAGAATAAACTGGACAGCTTTTACTCAGTCCTTTCTGCCTAAGAACTGATATCACACATTACATATCATCGCATGACACTTAGAAACCAAGAAGAAACACTTCAAAAGTACTCGGAGAGCCCAAGTCCTCCTCTCAGAAATGATAGGCACTAAGTGGTGAAAAGACAAAGCCACTCTGAAATTCCTAAAAGCTCTTAAAATAGGCTTGAAAATGGCATTTACAAACCCAGGTGACTTGTGTCCTGCTGAAAATTTTATCCTTACTGTAATTTTGAGTAAAATATAAGAAATGTGAAAACACAGTACACACACACACAAATCTCTCTCTAAATACACAAATTAGCACAAAAAGGATGTACTTCTACTACTTTGGATTCAATCTCATAATGTTTCGCTTTGAAGTCCTAATCAGATGAGATACAGAAAGGAGATAAAAAGACACCCATTTTTTCAATATATTTGTAATACCAAGCTGAAGGAGGACAGAAAGCATAAAACAAAAGAAAAAAAAAAAAAAAAAAGAAAAAAACCTAGAATACAGAATAAGGTGAGTTGTAAACTATGCTGTAAAGACTAGAAAAATATAGAACTTTCCAGAATCATCATAACTTGGAGAAGAATTCAGCAGTGCCAATTTCATTTCAGCAGACTCCTCACGGCAAATGAGTGGTAGGGACACTGTGCTAGGGATGGTGATGGAGAATTTACACACTCTAAGGCTTCCCTGGCTTAATCAACTTTTGGCCTAAGGAACACAACTATTTCTTCCTGCAAAAATCCTGCCTCTTAATAAAAAAGCATAAATAGATGACAATTATGATTCACTCCAAGTATGTTTGTTTATGACAGAAAGATTTAAATTCATAATCCAAACTGCTGAATAGTGTCAACTAAAATATATTTCCAAGCGCAAGTAACTTCTTTCCTGTTTGAATTCCACAGATTTACAAACCAGGAAGTCAGAGGTTACATTTTCAGATTCAGATAGCTTTCTTTTGTATCACAGTTGGATAAGAGATACCTTTCAAAAGATGCCTGCTACAAAATAAGTTGGTTCCTCTCTGGTGCAGCAGCACATGTGTAAAGATGCATTGCTAGTCTCAGTTCAAAGCTCCCATGGGTTTATGTATTACTGTTCAAGTTGTTCTCTAGGGTTCCTTTTTTATCTGTGAAGAACAAAACTTTCTCTAGTTTCATAAGACTGCAGGTGCAAGTCTGTTACTTGGTGACCAGAGAGTGATGGGCAGTGAAAAAATAAAAGGGATAGCAGAAAGTGTCTGTTAAACAAAAAACAGAGACACATTAAAAGTTTTCAGTATTTTCAATGTGCAGACTTGCAGGGTTCCTTAAAAATAAATTTAGAACTGTACTGTAGAGACTGCTAATCTCAGCACCCACTGTTGTGCTACTTCCCTCATGCTACACCTGTCCACGACAGCTTGCCTGTCAGAGTACAATTGGTTGGCCAGCTGAACTAACCTTTTGTCCCTACTGCCTCTGGGCCTGATTTACTGCCCGGACTTGTGTTTCGAGTTTCAGCTTGCTCCTTACTCAGGTACAATTTTAAAGCTTGTGAGATGGGACCCAGCTCACAGTCTGGGACCCAAGTAGTATTCTGCTCTGACCGTACGGAAAAGAGTAAATTAATAAAGTCAGAGGGGTTCTACCAAGCTTTTTTGTTTTTCATCACCTATTAATCAGTGGCACCACAGAGCGCCATATCCAAGCTCAGCTCAAAGGTCCTCAGCCCTGCGTACTCCTGCGGGGTCTAACACACACGTGCCATTGAGCACGCTCGTAGGAGTTTGCAGAGGACGCGCAACAGGCGCGCAGACAGAACCTGGTGTAACTCTCCGTGGTGCCTTTTCGGGTCGGGAGCAGAGCGTGGCTCCAAGCCCCGGACAGCTGAGGGAGCCCCGCGAAGCCCATCTGCGTGCGGGCCGCGGCCGAGGGCAGCGAGCCGGGCGGGCGGAGCCCCGGCCCCGCACCTGCCCCTGCCCCGCTCACAAGATGGCAGGCGAGCGGCGCGGCAGGCCCTGGCGCTCCCCACCGCGGCCCTGCACTCACGATCTCCAGGAAGATGACGGCTCCCGAGAAGGTGCGCAGGATCTCCAGGCCGGAGGGCAGCGTGACCCGCGGAGGCGGGAAGTAGGGAGCGGGGTTGGGAGGCGGCGGCATGGACGAGGCTCCCCTGGGCAACATGCTGCTGCGGCGGCGGCGGCCGTGCCGAGCGCGGCCAGGTGGGCGAGGAGGCGGCGGTGAGGGCGGCGCAGGTGCGGGCGGGCCGGCCGCGCCTCCCCCGGCCCGGCCCGGCCCGGCCCCGCCCCGCAGCCGCCGCGCCTCGCCCGGAGCGGGGCCGGGCCCGGGGCCGGAGCCGGGCCCGGGCCGTGTCCGGCCGCGCCTCCCCCGGCCCGGCCCGGCCCGGCCCCGCCCCGCAGCCGCCGCGCCTCGCCCGGAGCGCGGCGCTCCGCATTCACGAGTCCTGAATCAGGCCAGCCGGACTCGGGCGTGATTTCCCAATGCCGGCTTGCAAAAGGTTGTTATTTACCTTCTGGTTACGGATGTTCGGGCTTCGAAATTGAGTCGTTGCACTTTTTGTTTTATTTAAAGGCGCCTACTAGGTTATCCATTCAAAATATTGAAAACATTTCATTTGTATCTTCTTATTGCTCGGTCTGGCTCAACTGTGTACCACTGATTAAAAGTAGTAGAAAATGTTTGTAAAACTTTGGGGTAGAGAAAGGTATACATTCATGAGACTACTTATAATCCATTTATTTTCTTATGCTTCTTTATACAAGCATCTTCTCCAGATGAAGGAGATGCCATCCAGCAGCACTTCACTTATTTCTCCCGTTGTGCCTTAGGCTGAGATGTGCTACCTCTGGAATGACCAAGACTGTTTCACCCAATGTTATCCCATTCAGTGTTCATCGTCCACACATACAGCTGCGATTTTAGAGATAACATTTTAAGAAGGTTTCATGCAAGTGTGTGTAGCTGCTCTGGAGATTGAACTGACTTGGGTATAAAGACCTTATTCCTTTCTTTTCGATGCATGATGTTTCTCGGGTATGCTTTTGTGATGACAAGAAATGCCACATCCTGAGATGCCTGTCTTCCCCACCCCAATCCAAGCCCTAGGTGGAGAGCAGTTGGCACCATAAAACAGGACTCATCTGTGTTTCTGCCATACCATTCCGTACACAAATAGATTTGTGATGCTTTTAAAATGCATTAATGATTGCTTGGCTTTGAAATCTTGGCATCTAAAGGAGGAAGAAGCAAAAGTTCACATTCTTTCTTGTGCTCTGTCTTCATCTCTATGCCTCTTGTAGCTGGATGCCTCTTGAACTCTTAAGTAGGAGATGCTGGATTGAATCCCCATTAGGCTGAAGAAGGCACAGCCTCCCCTCTTTTCTGAGTGCTTTACCCCATTGCCTATCCAATGATATATTATTTTTTTCCTCTAGACCTATTTGAAAAGTGAACCTTGTGTTCCATCCTTTTATCTTCAGGAAAAGACTTAAGGCTCTGGAAGTGCATGCCTACAGGACCTGTTTTGCCTGTGTTTTGGAAAGGAATGGGATTGATACTTGTGCATAAGTGATTAGGTGTAGGAGGTTTGTTCTTGGGATTGTTATCTGGAGACCATATGTCAAATAAAAGTCACAGTCTGGCCCTAAATCTGTTAAGACTGCCCTGCAGAGGGAGAAGTCTGAGACAGTGGAAAACAGGGCTGGTTTATGATTCAGAACAAGAAATGTGATTGTCCTTATCTTACACAAAGGAAGTACAAATAATACTTAGTCATAAACATTTCCAGTGTTATTATTTAGCTGCATAGTTAATCTGTGTGAACTCCTAGCAGTACTAGATTTTACTAATGATTACATACCATGTGCTTGTAAATCCCATTTCTTTTTACTTGCACGTTCCTTATAACACTTATTTTATTGAAATTTAGTTGGTTCTAACAAAAAAATCCAAATTTCACTTTCACAACTAGGTATAGATCTACTGAGTAGATTTTTGGCTGTGCTTTTTCCTGAAGCCTAATTCTCTGCTTTTTCCTAAAGCTTAAATTAAGTGGCTCTTTAAATTATTTTTGCTGTGTTCAGGCAAGATGTGCTGCATGCCATGTGGGATTGCTTTTATACTGATTCATGTACTGTTTGAATCTTTAAAGAACTGGATTTTTTAAAGAGATTAAGTTTCCATGCAAAAGCACATGTTTGTGTTTAACTGCTTTTTAATAGCATTTTTGTATAACTAATTGCATCTTGGCATGTTAGAAGGTAATGATGCAGCTTCCAGTCCACCAAAGTGAATAAGTAGGCAGAAGTATATTGATTCATTGTGAGTAGGAAAGTCTGTCTATACAACCACAAGGAGTAAAAACTGCTCTTAAACAGCTGTAAAAAGCTCTATTCCCTTCATGTTCTAATGCTATGGCAGTCTAATGTAAAGGAAGCATTGTCACAGAACTACTAAACCAGTTGCTGGTTTAGCAGTGTACATGTGTACATCATACTGGATATGAAAATTACACAGCAGTCACATGCAGCAAGATTCAGACTACCTTTTGTGAGGTATGGCATTGATACTTCTGGAAGAGCTGAATATTAGTAAGGATACTAGATAACAGGTGAAAGTAATGCCAATTTCAGAACTCATGGTCCTTAATGCCTTATCTATGTTATCAGAAGCATTTCAGGAAGAGATGTTATCTCATGTCCTATGTTATGGAGTGCACCAGGGTGGTCTGCCAAAATGGTCAAAGAGATGGAAAATACAAACCAAATAATTGATAATAACCCTGTTTTCCTGTGGCTCTGTTTATGCACAAACAGATTCCCCAAGCCAGAGTGGAACTAGGCAAGGTTTTCTAGACAGGATCCGCTTCTTTCTTCCAGTTGCTTTCTTGTTCTGGAGGAAGTTGCCCCTAATAGTTGTCTGTGTTTCTTTTAGATTTGCAAAGCTGCTATTTCTTAATGTGGAATACAAACTCTCCTAAGTTATTTACATATCAAAAATAGAAAGCCTGGAGTTGATCATGCAACACAGGCTTTTTGTTTATGGATGAAATAATTTACCATGCTCCTGGAAATTTCATACAGGATTCTGATCTCACACTGGTACAAACTCTGGGGTCATTACCCCTTAGCCAGTGAAATTAAATTGGCATAAAACTGGCTTGCATAAGATGAATGATAAGGAATGCCTTTAGCATCATTTGTTGTAGTGTATTTAGTAAGTGGTAACAGAACTTCAGGATCATGGTTGGATCTATGCATATTATGAATTAGTGTGCAAATACCACCACATTGTTGAGGTTTCTTGGGAGGCAGTACAACAGTTTTAATTTTTTTAACAAGCAGGGCCAAGTTTGTGAATGCATGTTGCCCCTTCTTGCACCAAGAGGAAAACAACTGTTGAAATTTCTCACTTAATCCAGTTAAAATGAGCTTGGGATGTGTGCTGAGGAGATGAAGATAAATGTGCCACCTGTTTGGTCCACCAGTGCCAGGGATGGCTGGTTACCAAACCAGTCCCTGGAGCAGCTTCAAGCAGTCTCAGAGCTGCTCTCAGCAGCATTTTCTGGCTGGCTCATAATGCTATGGTGGTACTTTGGACATGGCCTCTTCCTGCAGAAGTGTCTTCCGTGCCCAGAGCTATGGGATGAAAGGCATTTTCCTGTCTGCTTTGGCTCTCAGGGTGCCCTTTGAAGCAGGGAATCCCTTGCTGGCTGGTTAGGGGTGTTTGAGGATCCCTTCACACAGGCACCACACAGCTGGAGGCTGGCACAGAGCCAGGGACCCTGCTGGAGTCAGCTGGTGTTAGGGAGGTCAGGCTGAGGTTCCTCACCTGTTCTCATAACATTGTTTCCATGTTCCTAAGCTTACCAGAGGTTCATTTTTGACTTGGTGGCACTGCTGGTCTCTAGCAATACAGTATAGCATGCCAAGGGCCAATTTTCCTTTTATTTACTTTAAGAAATTCCTTTTAGCTGTGTAAGGGTGCAGCAAAAGTAAAAATGCAGAATCTCTTAATAGCAAAGAGGAAGATCCTGACCTGAGATGGTACAGGAGGCAAGGTGGGTAGAGAGCGACATGGCAGAGCAAAGCCAAGTTACCTAATGGGAAAATGTCTCAAGAAGTCAAGTGTTCTGTTCTTGGCATAGGTGAGCCAGCAGGAAAAATGGTTTGCATGGATTGTCCTCAGAAGAGAGTGTTAAAGTCTCAGAAGTACAAACTGGGAGCATGATATTGTTGGAGATGAGGGATGAGTAAATAGCACTGATTGTTTAGGACAGAACTGCCCAGGGAAAACAGTGCACAGACTGCACAGCAGCAATACATTTTTTTATCCTGTCCCCTTCCAGCTTCATGGTATAAAAGAGGACCAGTTGAGCTGGCTGCAGGGGGGCTGAAGGAGGCTGTGCCAAGTGCTGCCTTTGCAGATGCAGCACAGACCCGTGCCTTTGGTACTGCTGGTAGCACAGGCCTCTGCTCACTCTGTCGGCACTCAAGACTTGGATGTAAGAACCTTTGCTCATAACGTGCTGGCAGCACGTAGGGCAGCAGTAGGTATCCATTGTTTTCATGAACTATCTGTGCTTTCAGGAAGTTTCCTCAGCTGCAGTTTGTTTGCCTTTTGGGGACTGTTTTTTTTTATTGAGCAAAATCCTGGCTAAAAATCCAATAGAAGGCAAAGGATAATTAGGCAAAAGACAATGGTGACTTTATTTTGTGATGACTAAATTCAGGAAGTAGAAGCATGGAGACATTAAAATATGATTGTATAAAAAAGAACTGTAATGGTTTGAAATGGCATAAAAATGCTGCTGCAAAAGGACTGAGTTTATAGATTTCAAAGCACTCTGAGTTTATTTGTAATAAAAAGGATTTATCAGTGTTATAATGTATACACATAATTAGGACTTACCTGATGACTGTTAGTAGGATGTTAAAGAGCTCTTTGTATGTAAGTATAGTCATAATTAAGGGAATCATAACTTCTGTATTTTTTGTTAGTTTCAGATTGCTTAAAACAGCAGGGTCATATTCTAATTAAATCTGTTGTTACTTACAGTAACTACTGGAGTTCTAAGGCTGAGGGAGCTCTTCAGCTACTGAAACACTGGCAGACCTATAATCTTTTTACTGATTATCCATAATTTCAAAACTGTCTCCAAGCATCCAGGTGCCTCTGGTGTTCACAAAATTAATACATTTCAGTACTAGCAGAACAGTTTAAAAATAAACACAAAACTCATGAGTCAGATACACTGCCACATCCTAGCTTCTTTATGTACAGTACAGTACATGGACATTTTTACTTTTTTAAATGATAGATAGAAAACTATTATTGGGATTTTTCTTTAAGATAAGAAATGCTGATACAGCTTCTAGAAACCTTCAGGTGGTCTGAGCCATGCTTCTGCACCTTTAAACATCCTGTTGCTTCTCTCTTGTTTTTTTTTGGGGGGGGGGGTTTGGGGTGGTTTTTTTTTGTTTGTTTGTTTTGGTTTGGTTTTGTGGGGTTTTTTTGTTTGTTTTGTTTTTGGGTTTGTTTGGGGGTTTTTTGTGGGTTTTTTTTGTTTTTTACTTAGAGTAAGCACAAATAATGTCCTCTAACCTTGAACTTTAGATTTTGAGTTTGCCCATCCTCTCTCTGCAATGATAAACTCTGTAGGACAGTCAGGTATTTTCAGGAGCTGGATGCCCCTTACAGAACATGAACCTTCCTTCTAATGCTTGATTTTCATATGTCAGATTAAGCAGTGCTGCCTGCTTATGTGCTCAGATCCTCCAAAATCCAGTCCTGATAGTGATGGCAAGTTCCAAACAGTGACTCTTTCTGAGCCATCAAGTGCTGAAGCTACATCAGAAATTACCATAACACATGAGAATAATTACTTCATTTCAGGGAATTACTGTGAATATATTTCTGCAGGTCCATCTCAGCTATTTAGTTCCTATTGAACCTCACCTCAGATTCTTTCACAATGTTTTTGTAAGTATAAGTATTTGATTAAGTAGGTTTTGTTTCACAGGAAAGCAAATAGGTTTGGGTTTGGTTTTTTTTTTTCTTTCTTTCATAAATCCTAAACCAGTTAAACTGCATTCCTGTTGGCCTGACGTCCTTCATGAAGAAATAAGTGTTACAAACAGTATGTATGCAATTTCTGGATAGAAAACAATCTGTGGTTCTGCTGGCAGGTTTAGCTTACACATCATCAAGGAAGGTGAGGTGGTTTGTGCTATCCTCATGTTGAGTCAAACTCTGCTAAGATGTAGTTTAGACTATGAAAAATAAGTTAAAAACTATCTCACTTTCCCTCTACGATTTTTAATGTGACAGCCACATGAGTATTTTATTTCATTCACATGTGAATATTTCATTCACAGTTGCTGATGATTTCTTGTATTCATTAGTGTCTGGCTTTATCAGTGTTACAATTCACACACATAATTCCTGACATCTTTCAGGATGGACATGCTTGTGCACATGCTTCTCCTATGTAGAGAGTGTTTTCATCCACTACAATGAATAACTCCTGACAGTGGACTTGCACATTGTTCTCAGATGTGTGGATGGGGTGAGAGAAAGGGATGATGAATTTGCTACCAGGTAAGTTTTGTAATTTATTTACAAGGCAGTAATTAAAGAATAAAACCAAACAAATTTTAAGTAGACTACCTACACCTTTAAACAAAATTATTTTTCTACCCTGGAATTTGATTTGGAATGGGACCTTATGTTCACATATCCTTTGGAGTGCTTACAGTCTGTAGCAGTGCATTTCAAAAACTTGAATAGCCTTGCCTTTTGCTGCCTACCAGTAGTTTTGTGGAGTTATTTAAGTAGTTTAAATTTTAATCCACAGGTATTTGGAAGAAGGATGAATCAGAGGTCAAAAAACACAGCTCATTAATTTTACATAATAGCAAAAGAATAAATAGGTCAGTATTCTGTGCATTACTTTACTAATAGGATAGTATAATTGCAGTGTAGTTAGTGTTTATAGGGTGCTTTGAAGATGTAATTTGTTGTACAGGACTAATATGCTCATACATCTCTACATCTAGCTATACTCAAAAAGAAATGCCTAACCTCACAAAAAGTCTTTTTGGGTTTCTGGTGCACAGTGAAAGAAACCAGGCTGGATTCAGCTGATCAAGTGCCTATGTGTATCTGACTAGACCCTCCATTACAAACAGGAAAGCAATAGCATCATTTGATGAACAATTTGTTTTGTATTTTAGTAGGTATCTGGATATAGATCATAGGAATCACTTGTGTCTGCTTTGTCCTTGGTTTTGCATAAAATGTATTTCTGCTTCTTCAGGTCCTGAGAAAGTTCTCTCTCTCCTGCAAACATGGACTTGCAGAAAGCTCTGGTATTCCTGAGCTATTGAATTGAAATTTCTTTTTGGACCTACTGAAAACATTTTAGATGTTCTCTGACAAACTTTAAAGCCTTTTCAAGACCTAGAAATTAGCTCAGAGTGGGAAATAAATCCGTCAGCTCATATGGTAAGCATCTGCTAAATCTGTATTTACATTTTTCTACAATGTTTTACTTAATCTTCTACTGATTAACTGAACATTATTGTGACTTCTTCCACCCTCCACATAGAGTGTTCCATGCACTCTGTTAATGTTGTGGGAAACTGATATAAATATTTCTGTTGTATGAAGCTGGGGATATTAACATCTCTTGCTAGACAATTACTGCTGAGAAGTTAAAAAGACAGAAAAACTTGCAGCATCTAGTAAGAGGAAAAAGATGAACAGGGGATTAATCACTGAAATCTGCTTTCAAAAACATATTACTTACATTTTTTAGGACTTGTTATGTTTAAACTATGTCCACATCAATAAAACCAAAGTAATGATAGACATCCGACTACTTTTTTAAAGTTACATTTGTTTTGCAAAACACATAAGTTATGAAAAATGTGACAAAAAAAGAGGACATATAATGAATTTGCATCATTTGAGGTCATGGCTCTGCAGATACATACATGATGTACTGCCTCATACTAATGAGAAGCTACAGTTCCTTGACTCCTCCAGCATCTGCAAGTCTGCAGATAAAGATAAAGCACAGGATTTTGGTGGGATTCAAGCACAGATATGGCACCAGGGATGCTGAGGTACAGCACTAAGGGCCTTAGGGATTCAGAACTCAAAATGCACAGGTTCACACACACTGCCCAGGCTCTGACAGCTCTGTGTGGTCAGCCACTGTGCTTCAGTAGGCTGCTGCTGCTGTCTGCAGAAGGGAGTGATGTGACTTCCTCGTCCCACCCACCTAAAAATCAATTGAAACTTTTCCACCCTATGTTGAAAGATCTGCATGGAGCAACATTTCCAGGCCAGGAGGGGGTGGGGCCTGGAGCTTTAGCTGGGCACACTGCACACAGCAGGTAGGCAAAAATTCTTTTACAATTTGCTGTTCTCCCTTGCTACAAAAGCATAGAAGAAATACAGATTAAACTACTACTTTGATCTTGCCCATTCTTTTTTCCCCATGTTGAGTAGTTTATGTATGACTTTAATAAATAATAAAAGAAGGATAAAAAAAAAAGTAATAGTAATTTATGGCTTCTGTACACATGAAAACCTATTAAATCAAGACAATCTAGAGCAATGCTTTCCAAATAACCATGTTAATCCCTCCCTCTAACACATTTAGTATTTTTGTCATGACACATGGTGTCAAATTTCATCTCAATAACCATTTCAGCCAGCTGAACTACAATTCCAATGTACTTTTTAAGACTGTATGTAAAACTACATAGAGATGCCTACATATTCTTGTGGCTGTGGTCAAGAATCTGGAAATCTATTTCTCTAGGTGTTTTATTTTTTTAAAAAAAAGAGTTATTAAAAGCAGTAAAAAAAGTAGAAAGAAAAAAATCTATCAGCTGAATGCCCATTTGAGACTGAAATGCTTGAGGAAAATGTATTCTAATGGGATATATTGAATCTCTGATCATTTTTATTAGAGCTAGTTTCTAAAACATTGTCTTTACCATAGATATCTGTCCTTTATATATGTTATGAGCCTCAGGAGAACAGAATGATAATGCTTGTGCTGAGTGACATTCCTCAGAATATGGAAGATCATAAATTCCTGGTTGTCCAAGAGCAGGAAGCATGCTGAAATATTCTTGCTATCTTAGGCAGCGATCTTGTTTTCACTGCACATCTACAGGTAGCTTTGCTAGGGGGTTGGTGTGGCTGAACAGGGAGCTTGGTGGAGCTCCAATATGAAAAGAAAGTATAGAGGAGATGGAAGCAGGGACAGGCTACAATGGAATAATTAGGAATAATTTAGAAATATTAACTGAGTTTGTAGAAGTAGCAGCAGACACTGATAAAATGGAGGCACTCCATTTTTTTAAACCTCCACTCCATGGAGGTTTATTTGCTGTCTCTACCATCAAACTATCCCATGCATCATCTGTGCTTAGGGATAGGGTCCAAAGAGAGCTACCATAAGTGGATGAGTGTTTAGCTGGGGCTTACTTGAGAGAGTTTGACCAGAAAACACCATGGGAGCAGACAGGTCACATCCAAGGTGCCAAAAAAACCAAAATTAGATGTCTCTGCATGACAACTCTATCACATCAGAAGGGTTATGGAAATCATGGAAGTTTCCTTAATAACTGGTAATAGGTAAATGTTGCACCATTTCCTTAGGAAGGCCAAAGACAATCTGGGGAGCTATAAACTTATCAGCATTGCTTTGGTCCCTGTGGAACTTAAAGGACTGGATCTTCTTGGAATGCATTTCTGGGCATATGAAGGAGAAGGTGATCAGAAACAATCAGCATGGATCTACCTCATGTAAATCATGTCTGACTGCCTGATTGTATTTATGATTCTATGACTGGATTTGCAGATGAGGGGAGAGAAGTGGCTATCATTTACCTCAATTTTAGCAAGGCTTTTGACATTGCCTCCAACAACATTCTTGTACCCCAGTTGAGATGGATGTTACGGTGGATAAAAACTCATTGATTTGGCTCAGAGGAGAGCGGTTAAATGAGTTGTTCTCTTCCCAGACAACTTTTTCCTGTTTACCTAGTAGAGTGCCATAGGGATCTAGAGACTGGAACAGTCCTGTTTAACATATTTACCAGGTGCTTCAAGGAGGTCATAAAATCCACTTTCCTCAGATTTGCAGATGATACCAAATTGGAAGGAACAGTGAATATGCTGTGGGCAGTGTTACCATACAGAAGAACCTAGGCAGGCTGGAGGAATTGGAGGAATGGGCCAAGAGGAACCTTATGAAACTCAGCAAGGACAAATGCAAAGTTCATGTCACCTGGGAATGCTGAGCCCTTCCATCAATACATGCTGGGGGGTGACTGGCTTTACTGCAAGGGCTCTGGAGAGTCCTGGCAGACAGCACATGGCCTGTGCTGGAGAGAGAACAGCCAGGAGCTTGTGGGAAGGGATTATGCTCCTGCTTGGCCCCTGTCAGACCACATTGAGGCACTGTGTCCTTTTGAGCCCCTCCAATGAGAAATTGGAGCCAAGTTTAGCTGAGACTCCCCAGAATGGCTGGAGTCAGACCCATGTGAGGAGGAGATAAAGGAACTGGATTTATGCAGCCTGGAGAAGAGGTGGCTTCAGGTGAACCTGATAGCAGCCTGCTGGCACCTATGAGGGTATCTTCAAGAAGACAAAGCCAGTGGTATGTTAAATAGTGGGAGGACAAGAAACAGCAAGCATAAATTGAAACAAGAGCATTCAGCCTGGGAATAATGGAAAGAAAAATACGTGAAAAAGTTATGCTGGGATTGGGTAAAATGGTTTAGATGTCATACATTAACGGACCATAAATTGTGAATAGTCAGGCACCATTTCCTATGTTCTTGGCTCCATCCACCTAATGTATGAAAGACACTTTACCCACCACAGTGAATTTCCATTGGCTAGCAGTGGAAACTTTGATGTAGCCCAATTTCTTAATTATAGCAAGCATATTTCTTCTGTAAAATATGGCAATAATATTTCAGTTAGTTAAGGCTCAAGCCTGTGCCCACAAGGCATGGGATAGGCACCTGTCTGCCAGGTCTCCTATGTGCAATGGGCTTTTTTATTTGGACTGGCCTAGGAGTTCAGCTTCTTGGCAGAATTTATTAACTGGGACTAGTCCTGCAGGAATGGGCTGCACAAGCACCTGCTCACACTTATGCCTGGCTGGCTGGAACATTGGACATCTCCTGTGCTGTCCCTCTTCTCTAGTTAGCAAAGGAACTGCCATCCCAAGTCTGCTGGTTTCAGCTGGCATAGCTCTCCCCAGTGTTCCAATAATACACAGTGGGTAAAAGGGTTGGTTTTGTTTATTTTTTTTCTATTTAAGAAAGGATGAAACTGGTGTGGTAGTAGAGTATGAGGATGGAAGAACTGGGCAGTCCCAGCCTTTCCATTGTAGAAATCCAGCATAAGTTCCTCACTCACTCCATCATCCAGCCATGGAGCCAGAGGACAGCCTCTGTCATTCCTTCCTGTACATGGAGCATAGTCCAAGATTACTCATAACTCATAGTCACCTATAAAAACCCTGAAGTTTCAATTTATAAGTGTACTTGCTGATTTTGAATGTCTTGGAGAGCAGCTGGTCTAATCTAAGACAGAGCTTGATCCTGCAGCAAAGTATTGCTCCACTTTCACCTTCTCCCAGCTCTGCGTTTTCTCCTAAAGAACAGGAAAATGGTCCATCTGTGATGGATGTAGCATTAAGGACACCTCTAAATTTTGTCAGCCAGTGGTCTCAGTATGGCCAGAGGGTTTCAGAACATGGACCTCCAGTCTCGTAAGCATGTTTTGTTGGTTTCTTGGGTCAGAAGTAAAGATGAAGTGTGCAGAAGTGATTGTGCCTACACACAGGGATATTACTATGCCACTTCTGCATGATTGCTAGGAACTGACTTGCTGTGATTAAGGCCAGCAACTTTGGACTTGAACTTCTAAAAGCATTATTTTTTTTCTCAAGAAGCTTTTTCTTGAATTAATCATTAATTCTTTAAAATTACCCATTAATGCTTCTAAAACCAAAGTGTTCAGCTTAATGAGTTTATTATAATAGATCCTAAAATGTGTAATTCTGCCTAGTTTTGAGGAATATTAATTCCCAGAGAGGGAATAATCCAGGCTGAGTTACATCATGCAAAGTGAACTTGTTTGCCCCAATACTCTCATAGCATAGAAGGGGAGCAATGAAAAGAAATGTGGTCCCACCCCTTTATTCACAGGTCTGAATAGTTTCCTGGAGGGTGTGTAGCAACACAGATAATTTACTGCTGGTAGCAACAGGAGGTTTCCTGGAGGAGCAAGTGTCAGAGAAACCAGATTACAAGAGTGGTTCTGAGTCACAGAGTTACCTGAGATGCTCCTGTGTTGGTCAATGCTCAGACCTGATCTTGGAGTCAAACAATCAGGCAAATGGTTCAGAGAATTTTCCTGTTCAAGGTGAGGTTGAGGACATATGATTGTTTGGTTGCCTTTGCAGAAGGGAGACTCTGAGCTGACCCTCTACATGATGGTAGCTGATGGCATGTCCAGCTCTCTGTATACCCAGAGGAGGACTGTGTGCACCTGGTGCTCAGTGACCTGCAGGGAATATTGCTGTGTGGTGCTGAGCATCTAGGATTCTCCTTAGCTTCCAGAGATCTTTCCTTAATTTTTAATGTTGGGTGGAAAGGAAAACTTACAGACTTGCATTGTAATGACCCTTAGGTTTCTCTTCATCTCCTGCTGTGAGAAAAGGCAAAACATGACTAAGCACTTGCTGTGTCTGAAGAAAAGAAAAAGCTCTGTCAGTATTCTCAAATATATGAAAATGTGATTCTTTGTGGGCATTCTGACATGGAGATCTAAGTATCTAGGCAGTGACAGCAGAGCCTTCATGTTCAGTGCTCATAATTTTTAGTAAGTCCCTCTGAACTGCATGACTAAGTTGTTCAACCACACCTGGAATCTGGGTTCTTGGGGGATAAAACCTGTTCTATAGCTTCTTCCTGTGTTACAAATGCATGGGTCATTTTAACATTAAACATCAAACGTCACTGGCTTCTGAATTAAGGATTTAATATATTCCTAGAATCACTTGTTAAACCAGCAATGCACATGGTACAGATTGTATTACATGTACCTGTTTACAGCCTACAGGAATGGTGTTGCTTCCTTTACACTGTTCTCTTTGTGCTAGACTTCTGTATGCCTATCACAGATTTTTGGGGACTTCAGACACTAGAACTACTGCATCTGTTTTTAGGTTGCCTACAAGCTGTGCAGACTTGTGTGCTTATGTACAATTAACTCCTCACATTTCAGGTCAGCCTGATGGCTTGGAAAGAGAGGTAAGTGAGATTTCTTCTGCGTAGAGAATCATAGAATGGTTTGGGCCGGAAGGAGCCTTAAATATCACCTAGTTCAAACCCCCATACTGTGAGCAGGGCCTCTTTCCACTAGATCATGTAGCTCAGTGCTCCATCCCACCTGGCCTTGAACACTTCCAGGGATGGGACATTCACAATTTCTCTGGGCTCACCATCCTCACAGTATGGGATTTCTTTCTCATATGTAAACCTAAATCTACTCTCCTTTAGTTAAACTCATTCCCCCTTGTCCTGTCACGACATGTCCTTGTAAGAAGTCTCTCTCCATCTTTCTTGTAGGCTCCTTTCAGGTACTGGGAGGTTGCTATTAGGTCACCCCAAAGCCTTTTTTTTTTTTTTCCCAGGCTGAACAAAACCAAATCTCAGCATTTCCTCACAGGAGAGGTGCTTCATCCTGCCAATCATTTTGGTGGCCTCCTCTGGACTTGCTCCAACAGGTCCATAGCCTTTCTGTGACCCCAGAGCTGACAGAGCACTCACTGCAGGTGGGGTCTCACCAAAGCAGAGTAGAGGGGAAGAATCACAGGGCTTTGGATGCAGCCCAGGACTGGTTTGGCTTTCTGGCCTGTGAGTGCACATTGCTGGGTCATGTCCAGCCTCCTATCTACCAGCATCCCCAAGTCCTGCTGGGCAAGGCTGCTCTCGATCTGTTCATCCCTCACCTGGACTGATTCCAGGGGTTGCCCTAACTCAAGTGCAGCACATTGCATTTGGTCTTGTTAAACCTCATAATGTTCCCATGGGCCACTTCCCTCATGGCATCCATATCCCTCTGAATGGCATCCCATCCTTCAGGTGTATCAACTGCACCACCCAGCTTGGTGCTATCTGCAAATGTGCTGAGGGCATGCTTTGTGCCTTTCTCTATATCATTAATGAAGATATTAAATAGTGCTGGTCCCACTACAGATCCCTGAGGAACATCCCTTGTCACTAATGTCCACTGGGACTCTGAACCACTGACCCTCTGGATCACCCATCCCTCTGGATGCTACCGTCTAACCAATTGTTTATCCACCTAACAGTCCACCCATTGGATCCATCTCTCCAAATTAAAAAGAATGTTATTGTAGGGGACCATGTCAAAAGCTTTACAGAAGACCAGATAAGTGCCTATCAGGCAATATAATTGTACAGAGAAATTAAGGAGAGTATAGCAACTTCTAAGTTTGAAGTTGGTCCTACTTTGCATGCAAGATTTAACCAAATTACCTCCAGAGATACCTTCCACCTCAAATTATGATTCTAACAAAAGAAGGATTTTTTTCAAGGGATATTTAAAACTTTTACTCTGAGCTCTGAAGTCATAAGGGAAATTACTGGGACTCCCTGTGCAAGTCAGAGATTAATGAAGGTCATGCTCTTTCCATCTGTGCACTTTACAAACCACATCAGTACTTCATATACCAATGATCTTACTATTTCTGGAACTGGTGAAATTATATTCACTTCTGCATCCTCTAAATTTTCCCCCAAAATTACACATAGAAATGCCAACCATAAAATGCATGTAGAAATGAAATATAGATTCACAACTGGCTGGATGCCCCCTGCAGACCTGTGCTGACTTTACAGTCAGTGATGACTAAACAGGAGTTACTCCTGCTTAGCCAAGTGATGTGAAGCTGGATTGAGCCCTGACCCTGGTCTCCTATCCCTGATTTGCTCTCCCTGCCATAAATGAATGAGGATGGGTTATAGTATATACAGCAGGTGCCAAGCACATTCTCTGGCACTTTTATTTCTTCTTCTTGAGGAATTCACAGACAAAGTAGATGGTGACTTGGCACTCAGAGTCATTCCACTCTCCTGTGCTGAGCATTTCCACACAGTCCTCGTGACCAGCTGGGTCATGTGGCTCCCCTTGCTTCCAGTTGCTGTAGTTCTGCAGTGGGCTGTTGTCTGCATACACAAACTGTCCTTCTCTTTCCATGTCATTCAGCCCAATGAAGGCTCGGAACAGGCCGCTGCTGGAGATGTAGTCAGCAATCAAGGCATTGGTTGCCTCATCTTTAGGCATGGCCAGTGATCCTCCTCTGTCCCTGCAGTGGATTAAGGCTTCTCTGTAATTCTTCTCTTCTTTCACAATGTAATAGAATTTCTCATCTGTCTCCCTGATACCTGCTATAACTTTCAAGAAGAAAAATTGCTTAATGGCATGTCAACAGATGCAGAAGGTTATTCTATTCCAATATGACAATGAGATGATTTTTACATTAGAATTAATAAAAGGGAAGGAGGAAAAGTATTCCCACTAGTGTATTTATGATGAATGATAAAGACATGATCAGAGATTGATGTGACTAATGAGATCGTTAAGCACTTAGCACACATTAGGACAAGAACTATTCAGTCCTGATTGGTGAGTCTCCTGTGAAACTTCAGTTTTATTTCCTGGATGTCTAGTATTAATCAACTTAAGGCATGCTAAATTGTCAAATGGCAATGTCTAATTCTGGATCACCCTATTGCTTTGTATGTTCTTGAATATAGATTGTGAAAGAGTGCCTGGGGTAGAAACACAGGGGTATAGATATCTTTTCAGGCCCTTTCCATGTAGATGAAAATAAATGTGACTGCTGAGACATTTTAGATATGGCCTGATATTCAGAGCTACTATAGCACTGTAGCATTGACTTGAAAGAAAACTGTGGTTGCTCAGCAGCTTTAAAAGGCAGACCTCTCAACCAGTGAGTTTATAGCCTAGTGAATTAAGCAGTGCCAAGGAGCATGCCTGGGTTGCTGGAAGCTGATTGTCTCTGCTAATGGATTGCTGGAGTGGTCCTGAGCAGAGTCTGGCCCAGGAAAATTAACATTTGCCTAAACAATTTAGGAGTTACCCCAGGCACAGCTTAGAATGTAGTAGAGGGGCACTCTTTGATAATACATCATTCAGTTTCATAGTATTTTTAAAATAGATGGGTGTTGTTGTGTGCTGGATGCCCACAATGACAAAGAACAGTCTCAGATTAATTTAATTTACTGATACAACCCTAGTTCTGGAAGCAGTGGTAGAGCTGTCTCAAAATCACTTTTATGCCAGGAAATTCCCTTCCTTTCAGTGGGGCAGTTTGCACTACCAACACAACAGCACTGCCTGGAAACGTGCCTTCTTATACCCCATACTCTGGAGTGCTGGTCCCTTCTTACAGGAAAATTGTGCATGCACTGAGGGGAGCACTAGGAGTGCTGAGTATGCAGCCTTTCTGAGCAGCAGAAAAAGGTTCTTATTTCTCTTCCTGCCTCTCTGGAGCTGACTGGCACAAACTTCTGCCTTATATTGCCTGACTGGCCACCAAACCTGAGCAGAATGATAGTGCAGAGGTGGTTAGCAAATCATTCCTTTTGCTTTTCATGATGTGTTCTCTTGTGCTGTTGATAACTTGTGGGATTTTTTTTCCTTCAGTCATCTGGTCCTTTTATCCTTATAGATGTAAGACTGCCTCTCCTTTTAGGCTTTCAGAGTGCCTGAAACAGAGGACCCTCTCTCTGGGTCATCTGTGGACACTTCCATAGACCAACAATGGTAGAAGAATAGCAATGATATCTGTTATTGGAATCAAATAAATCCCATCAAAATACATAAGGATCCTTACCATTCTTCACAAACTTGATGGATGTGTTAAGACGAGCAACGTTGATATTCAGTTGTCCAACAAATCTGCGGTACCTTCCACAGTCACAGACCGTGCCTGATGCAATACAAAGGAGGATTTACCTATTTAGAAGCATTTGGGTGGGTGTGTGCATGGAGAGTCACCTGTAGCTCTTCTGAAGACCTGGACCCCACTTATGGAGAGCCAGTCTGCACTTCAGTTGATCAAAGTGTTTAATGTTTTGACACTCCCTTGCTAACTGGCTTAAGCAAGTTAATACCAGCCCAAATAATCAATAACCTTCAAGCACTGAAGTTTCAGTTAATCTCCGCCCCCACTTTTTTTAACTGGAATTTGGCTTGCTAGAGGTTTTGTTTTCTCAGAAAGAAAATAAGTTGCTAATGGTTTCCCATTAAGCACTAAATGGTCATTTTATATGTAATCTCTTAAAAATAAATACAAGTATACAAGTTCAAGGTGGGTAGCCATTCAAAGTTACTAGGGTACTAGGTTTCTAGTTCATCAGAGTGAAAGTCTCCTCCTATAAGCAAATGCATTGCATTAATTTGACAACAGATTATGTTTCTATCTAAAATTACTTACTTTTTCATCTACGTGCACCTATTAGGAAACTGTTAAAGGGCTTTGATACTTTGCTACTAAGAAACTTTCCTTTGATACTAAGAAACTTTCTTCTAATGTCCAGTTTAAATGAATTCTGTTGGCCTGTGTGTTAGTTTTTATGATACCAAATATTGCCCATGAATTTGGATGGCTTCATATATTTGTATGCTGGTATATTCATAGGAATCACTCATGTCCCTACACTATCCTTTATTTTGCTCAACAAAACATTTTCAGTCTCTTCCTTACATTTCATCTATTCTCCTTGAAACTCTATTACATTTAATCTATTCTACTTGGGCATTTCAATTTAATTCCCTTGGGCCTCAAAATTTCATGGGATTCCATACAAACCAACCCTGAAATCAAAGATCCATTGGATTTGACCATTCTGCACAGAAGAATGCATAGCATACCTGCTTTTCCTTTTTTCCCTGAAACCCCTGGTAAGCCTTTGGCTCCTTTGTCACCTGAATAAAGAAGGAAATATATTCTCAGATCTCAGACAGTGCATATGTCAGGGAAGCATATTCAAAAACCCATTATATATTAACAGTGTGCTTTTTATAGGAAGCTCTGATGGACTGTACTGTCATGCCAAGTTAAATAAACCACGATTAATTCTGGTGCATGGAAATGAAAACCCTTTAATAGCTAACTCACTGATAACACAGGCATCTTGTGTGCTGCTGGTTCCTGATACCACTTACTTTAAATATAAAGTGCAAAATGATCCTGAGGAGCTGAAAGCACTCAAGAAATCTTGAAAAGGTGAAATCTGGGTTCTCTGCAGGACAGAGCCCTTCCCCAGGTTCAGTAGCTCCATGGTGAGATGAGGCAGCAGATGTGCTCTAAGCCTCTGAATTCATGCATGCAAGACATTGCATGTGCAGGCAGCAGTTTGCACCTGCATGGAGGGAGGTCATTAAGGAGCAGCATTTCAGTTCAGTTTATGGAAATGTGATTTATTTGCATCCAACTGCTTTCCCTTTCTTTTGTAAATTATAAAAATGATAAAAATACTTCTCCAATGCTCTACTATAAAACTGGAGGTGACCTGTTCTTTAAAAAAAATCTCACTTGTAATTTGGATCAGGAACAGCTGGACTTTATCTGAAATTAATGTCAACTCTTTTATGAAGAGGTCAAAATATAATAATACTTGCTCTGCCTTATTGATGACTGTTTTTATGTATTTTTTACTTTATATGGTTATGGTTTTTAAAAGAATTTAGATGTTGTCTGTCATTTTAATTAGCAGTGCTTGACACTGCACACTTGCAGGCTGGATTTTCAGGCTTGCTTTATTAAGAGCTCCAATGTTTAGTCATAGATTTTAACAGTGACTTTTGCTTCTGCAAATAAAGAAAATGAGAAAAAACTGTAAGTGGACAATAAAGTGTGTATTCATATTGAGAGCTTGATTAAAAGGCTCAGAATATTGGTTTACTTTAAGATAAACAAAAGCAACTTGTAAGATTGTTCATTTTTGTCTCCTTTGGGGATTGAAGACATGTTAGGAGATAACTCTCTGAGTTTTCAGTTTCCTAGGTACTTCTGAAAATTAATCCCTCAGGTCAAAGGGATCCCTCTTCTTGCCTGATACTGAGACTGGCTGAAGGCCATGAGAGGTTTATTAAAAACAGTGGTTTGAGAAGCTCTCCAGAAAGACTGTTCCACCTACTCAACAGTATATCCAAGCTGATGTGCTGGTTTGAGACCCCAGAACTCTCCTGGCAATGGTGGTGTCCCTGATCAGCTTTCAAGGCAGGTCTCCTTGTGGCAGAAGTAATATCCCTTCTTAAGTAGCTCTTTAGGAATATCAGAAAGGAATGCCTGAGCTTCTTCTTGAGATAAATAGAGCACAATTTCATGAAATTATTGTCCAGGCAGATTTGGAGTCTACCTTGATTTGCAAGTAGTTGCCATCCCTGCTTATGTGAGCACCTTCTTAAAATTCCTGAATTCGTTCCTTACCAGAGCACGGACGTCCTGTGCATTGTTTGCTTACATGACCCACAGCAGTGCAGGTGGCAAGGTGGCATCCTCAGCAACAGCAGGACATTGGCTTAGGCCTTCAGTATCCAAATCAAAGGCACAAATTTGTCTCTTGGAGTGTTCAGAGGATTTACTTCACAGGAACTGGGTTTCTCCCATTCTCTTTTACCACAGAATCATAGACTAGTTTGGGAAGTGACCTTTAAAGGTCATCTAGTTAAGCCCCCATGCAATGAGCAGAAACACCTTCAACTAGATCTATCAAAGAGGATTGATGTCTTAAGTCATAAAATAAATTATTTTAGCCAAATTAGTTGGATATATTGCATGAAGAAAATAAAACTAGGGTATTTCAGCTCACTCTCATCACCAGTCTTCATGCATAACTTTATTTGGAGAGCATTGGTTGTACCATTATCTAATATTGCTCCATATCTGGAGCTCTCATAAAGCACATATTTACCTTGAGGGAAAAAAACCCCAAGAAAATTCCCATACCAGAGCTTACCCTTTCCACCAATTGGACCAATTTTACCAAGCATTCCCTGGTCACCAACATCGCCCAATGGCCCTTTGTTTCCTAAGAGAAGAAATGAAGAGGAAATGAGTATGGATGGTTGCTGTAATTTCTTTTCTGAGGCACTGTTTAGGTCTCTACTGCTACTGTTTTTCCTCAGTGTGGCCAGTCTGCCTGTGTGGCAAAGTGAAGTGAGCACAGCCCTGAGGATATTTGGAAGAGAACAGCCACATCTCTGCTCCTGTAGGGTATGACAGTAGGTCATTGCACAGAACCTTAATAAAATTGCCTGTTCAAACATCATATTGTCTTAGACAAAATAGAAACTAAAACTGCTAGTGATGTACTTCACAGTCAAACCAGGCTGATGCCTTTTGGTTTTCTCCACCCCAGGCAAACACTTCTTAAGTCCTTACAGCTCTGCTGGATGTCCTTCTCAAAGCAGGACTGCAAGTAGGGAGCTACTCATTTTGCTGCATGTGTTTTCCCAGTCTTCAGAGCATAAAAAAACAGGTGTCCTTTTTAATTGATTAATAAATAGTGTAAGTTCTGAAATAGCTGCCTAATGATGACAGGCCAGTCTAGGGAATCTCAGTTTGCAAAAGGACTTTAACATCAATAGGATGCTTTGTAAATGGTTGATTCCCTGAATTCTTGTATCTTAGCTGATGTTTATTTTAAGGTAATAATCAAAATCATAAGAATGCATTTAAAAACAGAAAAAGTTTTTTATTATAACAATAATAACAGAGTGATTTTAAAGTTTCTATAAAAGTAAAAACTTTACTAATTAGTCTGAATCTACAGTCAAGGAAGGAAGATCTTGGATATGCGTTGTCATTAACCTCTAAAGATAAATTAAGCTTTCAAATTAAAGTATGCAAACAAGGCTGACATGGTCACATCTGGTGCCTCCAAATGATATGCCCAGGTCACACTGTGGATATGGGACATATTTAATTGAGCCAAGTCCTGAAACATTTGCAACTCCTTGTTCTCTTCTTGGATGCTCTTTGATCAGAGAAACTTTTTATTTGTGTGTGTATGGCTTTGTTTTCTTTGTCTGCAGAATACAGAAAACTGAAACCAAATTTTATTGAGCACCCTGATGTATTGCTAGGCAATAGTGCTCAAATTTCAATTTAAACTAAAGGCTAATTTCAGTAAGAGTAATATTTCTGGTTATGTATGTGATCTAGCACACTTATGACAGCCATATATATTTGTCTTAAGTATCAGTAGGAATTGGAGCAAGCTGTCTAAGTATTCTTATGTTTGCCGATCAATGTTTGACAAGATTGTGAAATCCACTGGTGAAACAGGAATGAAAACCATTAAACACCAATTATATGCATCAGTACAGTTGTGTATTATGATACTGATGTACCAGCAATAGCCAACAAACCATCATAAATACCTTTTGGTCCTTTTGGTCCAAGCTTTCCTTGTTTGCCTACTTCTCCTCTGTCTCCTTTTTCACCTTCATCCCCTTCCAAAAAAACCAAAAAATAAAACATCTTGGTAATTTCTCTCAGTGCAGTAAGTACAACTATACACACAGAAAGAAAATTTCATGGTTTGGTTTTTTTTTCCTACTGACTTCTTTTTATTTCACATTGAAAGCACAGTAGCCATGGGATAAATTTTCAGAAAAGAGATCAGGAATCTGATCATCATTAGGAAAAACTAAAAACTTTCCCTTTCAGAGAGGCTGTTACAACATGAAGATTATACAACAGCAATTCTTACTCCTACACTTGAAGCATTATTAGCTATAAAGCAGATAAATAAACCAATCTTTTGGTATTGGGAAACTTGAGCACATAGGGGCAAACTGTCAAGGGAGGTAACAGATGTTTATTAATTGTTCCTAGTGATTCCATTGCTAGTGACTCTGTGTTCAGGGCTTGCAGATGTGTTTGGAATGAGAGGAATGTAAATATGTTGAAATATATCTTGACTTAATAGACCTTGGCACTTAATATGACACAATTCTTGCCTTCATTTTTTGACAGATGGCATTTGTATGTTGATACAAGAAACTTGTTTTGCAATTACTCCAATGCTTGATTTTGAAAGGTCTTACACAGAGTATCTGTAAGAGGCAAAATCATTGCATTTATTCTGGTAGTGCAGAGATTTCTCTAAATGAGATTGAGACCATATTACACAGGTTCCTGTATAGCTCTCTATAGACACTTTCACTGTTGGAAGAGACAGTCTCTCAATGTGCAGCATATAGTGTAAAGGTGCAAGGCAGCAATTAGCCAGAAAGAAATGTTATTTCCTTCCCAAGTAGCCTACAATGTTGCTTTGTATGGAGGGAAGGCAGGAAGGAAGGAAGGCAGGAAGGCAGGAAGGCAGGAAGGCAGGAAGGCAGGAAGGAAGGAAGGAAGGAAGGAAGGAAGGAAGGAAGGAAGGAAGGGACTAAAGATGATTTTGTCATCTTCTTAGTTTGGAGCCAAATCATAAGAGGAAGATTTTTTTTTTTTACTCCCTCCAGCAGAGGTGGGGAGGAGACACGCCACTCGCCTGCACCAAAGGGCCATCACTGAACATGGGCAGCCTTCCAGAGTCTCTCTCATTGTTCCCTGCCTGTGCTGGCAATGAGCCTTGCTGTGCAGTGGGAAGCAGTGCCACAGCCTCTTGGCTCGGCCAGGATCTCACGTGGTAGTGGCAGCCAGCTGTGTCTGTGCCTGCTGCCCAGAAGGGGGGAAGGCTGTCATTCAGTGTATGGAGAGCCAGGGGAGGGAGGTGTGTCCAGATGTCAGCCAGAGGGGTGAGGACAGAGCAGCAGTGTGTGACAAGACCAATAACCTGTCTCACCAAGGGTGGTGCCTGCAGCCCTAGCAGAAAGTGTCCAGGGAACTGAGGTGTACTGAGGGTGACTATGACCCAGGCAGCCACTTCCAGCCTCTCACAGCAATGGTTTCAATTCTTACCTGAGCCAAGCACTGCATTCGTTCCCCTCATGAACAGCCACTAGTGATTCTTCTCTCCACCAATTCACCTTGTGCCTTTTAAACCCATTTATACCTTTGACCCTTATAATAAACATCCTGTGGCAAATAGCTCGATGATTTTTTTAATGTGCTGGGGAGAAAGTACCCTCCCATGTTTGCTTTGAGACTGATCATTACATTGGTCTCACTTTTTTCTCAAAAAATACTGCCCACTCATTCCTGATTTGCCTTCTACTTCTGCAGTCAGTAGTAGCATGTCATGGGCTGGTCAGTAGAGTGATAGCAGATGAGAAGTGCTGCACATTAATTGCAGCACATAAAAGTAGTTTTAACTGTTTGTCACCTTTCCGTTCCAGTTACATGGACTGAGCTGAACCTTTATGCTGAAAAAGCCCTTCCATGCTGGGACTCTCTTGTGAAGAGCAGATTCACCCCATTGGTAAGGATGCCCTTTGGGGGGAAGGTCAGTAGCCCAAGCTGAGGAGGATAAAGGGCTGAACTTCAGTTCACATTGAAGGGAGGAAGCAGTTTGTTTAAAGGATGTTTATTTTTATTTTTACGTTTATTTAAGTTTATTTTATTTTAAGGGATGGACAAGAAGGAAACAATGTGGTCTGTGCTGGCTCACTCAGGTTCTTTTTTTTTTTTAACACCAGCTTCTGCAGGTAAAATAGGAAAAGTCTAAAAGCAGTCAGCAATATAAATTTTAAACATCTCTCTTTTCCCATGCTCTTTAAAATACTGTAAAAGCCAGTGTATATTTCTAAAAGCCAAGCTCCTTAAATATTCAGCTGATGCTATGGGTCTGAGTGGGGAGCTGATGAAACCATGCCTGTTTTTACTGGGTTCCAGTCCAGCCAAAAAGGACATGGGGGTGCTGGTGGATGGGAGGCTGGACATAACCCAGAAATGTGCACTCACAGGCCAAAAAGTCAAATCTGTTCTGGACTCTATCAAAAGGAAAGTGGGGTGAGACCCCACCTGCAGTGCTGCATCCATCTCTGTGATCCTCCACAGAGGAAGGACATGGACCTGTTGGAGCAAGTCCAGAGGAGGCCACCAAGATGATTATCAGGATGGAATACCTCTCCTGAGGGAAAGACTGAGAGATTTGGTTTTGTTCAGCCTGGGAACAAAAAGGCTTTGGGATGACCTAATTGCAGCCTTCCAGTACCTGAAGGGAGCCTACAAGAAAGATGGAGAGAGACTTCTTACAAGGACATGTCGTGACAGGCCAAGGGGGAATGAATTTAACTGAAGGAGAGTAGATTTAGGTTACATATGAGAAAGAAATCCCATACTGTGAGGATGGTGAGCCCAGAGAAATTGTGCATGCCCCATCCCTGGAAGTGTTCAATGCCAGGCAGAATGGGGCTCTGAGCAACCTGGTTTAGTGGAAAGGTGTCTTTGTTCATGGCAGGGGGGTTGGAACTAGATGATTTTTAAGGTTCCTTCCAACCCAGACCATTCTATGATTTGATGATTCTACTGACATCCAAACAGCAGAGTTAGGGAATGCACGGTTTACTTTTGCTGTTGACTTCAATGCTAACAAGAGGAAATTGTTCTTTCCAAATCCATGTGTGAAACCCTTGTGAAAGTGCAAAAGTCATTTTTCAGTAGTTCAGAAGTTCAGAAAAGTTCCCAGAGGGTGATAAAGGATTTGTGAAAGGACAGTTTCTGCAAACCCATACAGGGGGAAATATGTGTGATAACAGGAAGGAGGCAGTGCATGATCCAAAGACTGGAAAGGCTTGATGAATCTTGACTAGAAATGCAACATGGCAATATTTCACAAATGGACTGTGTTCTCTGACAAGGAAGGGAGATGGGGGAGGCTTTTCATGTCCAGCCTTTCCCTGTGCAATGGATACCTTTGTGTAAAATATGCTCTAATTCTGGGTCTGGTATAAAAGCTGTTGAGGGAGATTCCTTGGCCTGTGGAAAACAAACCATATTCCTGCTGACTTTCCAAACCTGGGCTTGTCATCCTGGCAGTCTTCCTCACCTTTTTCAGACCAGCCAGTTACATTCTCAGCAGGCTGCTCTGTAGAGTTAAAAGCACTGGAGGGACTGTTGTTTGCTGCAGAAGGACATTATACAAGTTGAGAAGCTGTGATTACTTTCTAGAGATGTTTTATTCCTGTCTCAGTTTCAACAATTTGAGCCACTGAAAGATCCAGTGACTTTTCCTGAGGGACTTTGGAGCAAGATTTTCACACCTTGAAGCTACGTTGTCCTGTATGGACCATCAGCCTGAGAGCTGACAGGATAGAGGAGTGAAAGTTGTGGAAAAGTTTGTTCAGGAGATTTCCAGAGGTCAGGGAGTGCCTCAATTTTTATTAAAACTTTATGTGATCCAAATTTTTGCTTAAGACCTCTAAAAACCTAAGAGAGAGGGAAATAAGTTCCATCACCTGTTTCATCTTGCTGTAAAGAAGCCTGCCATACTCTCTCTTACTTTTCATATCCAGGAAAATGGGAAGAACAATAATTTATAAGAGAGGGTAATCCTGCTTTTCTCCCCAGCTGCCATCTGAGAATAGGTAGGCCATTACAAAACAAGGGTAGAAACAAACAGTATTAGTTAGTAATACCATTTGATTGTTAATTTAAGACTAGATTAAGCCCAGTATCTGCTCATATAGTACGTGCCATGTCCTCCTTTAGCTGCTGTGTTCTGTGATCTCAAATTTTGGCATGAAATGTGAACTCTTGGCTTGTGCTTCCCTCTTGTGCTCTTGCTGTGATTTGCAACCAGGTAGGAGAGACTGTGAGAGGTTGGCTGCTTTGGGCAGGAGTTGAGTTAGCTTTATTTTTAGTTTTTAGTTTACCATAAGTATCCCTCCCTTTCCTCTGAGACCTCATGTGGACTATCCATCCCACCCTTTTTTTTTTTTTTTTTTTTTCCTTCCAGGAAAAAAATCTGTCCTGCTAGTACTCTGGACTGGGTTTTTGAGTTCTGTACTACTGTGCTTTGTGCAACACGAATTTTCTGATTCCTGACCTCATATGCTTTTTTTCTCTACCTAGATGATAGCCTCTCCTTTATGCTGCTTTGCATTTGGGGCAGTGTCAGGTTAAATTTTAACCTAATTAGAAGATTGTCACTTTAAAACAGTGGTCTCAGGGATGTCAGATAATATACTGCACTGGCATTTGAAGCCATGGGTGAAGAAGCCCTTGGAGTCATTAACTGAAGTAAGACTGTTTCTCAGCCTTGTTATTATTTCCTCAAGTTGATTGGTTTCTTGTGTGTCGCACATATGAAATGCCAGGTTGCTAAAAGAAACACCTGAAGCAGTAAGTTACTAGAATCTTCCAGGTTAGGACCATGCAAGGCAGAAGAGCAGAAGCCATAAGAAGTAAGTAAAATTTGCAGCCATTAGAAGATTTTAATTGTAATTGAGAAGGAAACACAGACCTTCTGTAAACAAGCTCAGGAAAATGCTGAACATCTAATTACCAGCAGGATTTTTATGCAGTTGAAAGGGGCTCTGTCTTTTTTGGAGTTTGACTAAAAACCACTAAATAACTAAATGTTGAGAGGTTACCTTTGGTAAGAATTTAATTAGTAAGAATTTACTGACCTTCAAGCGACTTAGATTTGCCTGCTGAATATTTTGTAGGCAGTTATCTGGTTTGTATTCTTGAACTTAGGATGTTTTCAAGTTCACAGGTATTGTTCACAAATATTTAATGACTCTCCAATTTTTGTAATCAAGGGCTGACCATGGCTCTTGGAGAACCTGGATGTAATTTTGGTGGTTTCAGAGCCCACATTTATCTGCATCGGGCTGAGAACATATCTGCAGGCTGTCTGAAGGCTAAAAGTGAGAGGAGACTCTGAACTAGGCTTGTGCATGAATACCTCTCAGCATATTTGGAGCTGTCCTAAGAGACTCCCTGGGATCACTTTGTCAGGTGTGCTGGTGTGCCAGGGCCTCAGGTCAGCTCCAGTTCCCATCTCCTCAGCAAAAATACTACAGAAATGTTAATGTTCTCTCATCCTCTCTTTTGCAGGTATGTCTCCCTCCAGAATCCAGGACATGCCCATCCTTTCAAATGATAGAAACATCAATTATGCTGGGCTACAGCACAGTTGTCCTCCTACACCAGATACTCTAAATTGAAAAAAATCCCAGTACCAGCCAAAGAGTCTTTGAAAAGCCCTGGGCCTAATGACTAATTTGCTTTCTATACAAAGACTTTGTATGGAATTTGTTACATGTGTGACACGGTTCTGCTGAGCTCCATTTTTCATGCTCTTAGTCCCATCTGAGGTGGCAGATGGACCCTCTCCACCTCCAGAGACTGCATGTGAAGAGTACAGGTAATTTCTGCCTTTCCTGGGCATTCTGCCTGTCCTTATCCAAACTAAAAGGATAAGGGGATGAGCATAATTCGGAGGCCTTGAGAACCCTACATGGACAACTGAATGCCTACCCTCCTGGAAGAACCCCGCAGGATTAGCTGTGCAACTTGGGACACTGAGCAGGAAGAACCTCTGCAGCACTTGGGCATGCACAGTATCTACCGAGAGGGTTTGTCACTAGAGGGAGTCACAGACTTTAAGAAATAAGAAAACACAACCCAATTTGTATTTCCAATGTATGAGCATGTCACAGTTACGTCAATGGAAAGACTCAAAATTTCCTCTGATTTCACTTTCAGTGTCTTTTAGGTTCTTAGCAAATTTCCCGTAACAGTGTGCATTCTTGCTTTCATGCTGCATTTGGCAAGTGAGGACAGGATTTCTTGACATCAGCTGCCTATCTGACGTGATGCTCCCTTCCCTGTCCCTCCTCCTCCCCTCAGTTCCCAGCATTGTCCTGTGCCTCCCTTCCCTCTGCCTGACATTGAGCACTCTTTTCACCCTATTTTGAAGAAATTCATCTCCCTAAACAGAGGAATATGAATGAGGCAGATGCACAAATTTACTGAGTGGGCTGAAGCATTGCAGTGAAGAGCCTGGTTTGGCCAGAGCCCTGTGCTGACAATGCTGAGCTGGTGGGTTCAGTCCCTGGATGAGCCTTTCATGTAAGAGCTGGATGGAGTCAATGATCCTTGTGGGTCCCTTCCAACTCAGAATATTCTGTGAGTCTGAAATAGCTAAGCCAGCACAAGGTGAAGTGGGGACCACATGGCCAGAGTGGAAGAAAAATAAGATGTTTGGCCTCCTTTTTTTGTCAGAAAAGCTGAGAGTTGAGTAGTATGTTCAGCTGCACTGTGAAAGTGCACCCATGGTCACCTTCCCAGGTGTCCTGCAGGAAAATGCAGGGCTCTTACATATGCACCATTCTTACACAGATTGTGTTTCTTCACCCAGGTTCAAATTAGACAATACAAGCCCTTCCCTTGTAAAATAAAAAGAATCTTCAAGAAAAAATAAAATTCTCTAATTGCTTTTTTACCTCTAAATTTGACTTCATTAGAAATACCCTCCTCTCTTATTGCATTACATGAGGCATACCCAAGCTGTCAGTAGGTTCAGTGAACCTCTGCTGACTTGTATTTGAAAGTGTGGACCTTTGTGCATGAATGGAATATACATTATTTCTTTAATAACAGAGAAATAATTTCAATCACTCTTGATTCTCCTTTTACTTGGTCTGCCTGATTTGATTTTCCCAGCCTCTTGTGCTGCCATTCTGATATGATCTCAGAGACCCATGAATTATGGTGGCTTCTGTGAGGAGTCAGACTGCCATAGGTAAGAAATGCAGACCCACTATCTCTTGAATTTATGTATTTAAGTCCCCTGAGCCTTGTAGCTCAAGCTGATAATTTCCAGAAATTTACTGTGTGCTAAAATGAGGAATTTTAGAAGCCATTAAAAACAGAATTATGTATTGAAATTAAAGGACTCTTCAGATCAAAAATGAGTCACTAAGAGGGAAATTTAGTTATAGATTTGAACAGCTATAGGATGTGGTAAGGCATTTTATATTTTTGGAAGGCAACGTGGATAGCAGCATATCTGGTTTCTGAAAGAGTTTGAGATTTTCTAGGAGTGGAACTGCGTAAGCACAATTAAAGCTGAGAGATGGACAGCTATACTGGTGACCACAGTAAATGCTATTTTGAGGTACCAGCCAATGTCACAGAGTTTATAAGCACCATTTGTCAGAAATAATAATAAGGAAACATTTTACATCTAAATTGCTATGGGAAATTCCCGGTGCTCTTCAGATTTCATCTCATTCCAGTTTCTCAACCTGGATCTGATTCAAGACTTTCAAAGCTCTCGTGTCTGGATTTCAAAGAAAATGAACTGGAATCAGGGACAGATAGCAAGATCCAGAACTAGTCTTCTGAAGTGCTGAGATCCCATGAATCCACATGAAATGAGCTTCTGCAGTGCCAGCCCCTGCTCACATATTTAATGGGAGTTCAGAAGTCAGAGTTTTGGGTCATCCTCTGCATATTTCCACCCTCATCTTGTTGCTTACTGATTTACTCAGAGCAGGTCAACTCCGGTCTCATCTACTTTAACAGCCCACTTAAAACTTCCTCTGCAGATCAGAGCTTGCAGTATCCAAGGGAGAGCAGGCTGGAGGAAAGGACAGAGCTGGGACACCCCTCAAAGGCAGAGTCCAGGGGGCAGAGCCTGATCCTCCTGATGCTGCCAGGGCCACAGCAGCTGGTGCCTTTGCTCTCACTGTGTTAGCTGCTGCCTCCCCACAGTCCCAGACCCTTTCCCAGCAGCAGCAACAGCCAGCCTGCTTTGCTTCCAGGCTTGGAAGGGTAGAAAATAAGCAATAGGGCCATAACTAATTTTGCTAAGCCAATTGCTTGTCTGCCCTGGAAAATTCATTGTTTAATTTATGCTTTATGTCTTGGTTCTCTTTGGACTCAAGTCAATGAAGTACAAAACATGGCCATTATTGCCCCAGTTACTCAGCTGTGGATCAGTGTTAGCTGGTATAAGATGTAAGTTTTCAGAGTTCCTGTGCTACAACAGCCCAGCTAGGACCAAGTTGTTCCTGACATCTCAGGTCAAACATCAAAAATCCCTGGTTACAAACACTAAAAATATCTACTTTTTGTTTTTCTTTTTTCTTTTTTTTGGGGGGTGGGGGAGGGGAGGGCAGGGCATAAGAGGGGTAGGGGTGTTCCTAGAGTATTTCAATAGGAATCCTAGAAAATGCCTCACTCATTTCTGTTCCTAACTGCCATATAAGCCAGCTGGCTGTACACCTCAAATCTTTTTTTGAGAAGGCAGTACAAGACAGCCATTGCAGCGGGTTCTTTTCATTGAAAATAATCCCCTCTTTTTGAGAAGAGACCTGGAGTGTTGCTTAGAAAATGAGATGGAGAAGAGTGACAACTTTTGTCTCTTCTTTTTATTTTTCCATTTTTCTGGAGTGCCCATTTGGCAAATTTCTTTGCATAATTCTTGGCAAACAGGCTTCAGGTTTCATTTGCTTGTCCCAGTGAGGGGAATCAGCAGCTGGGGGGGACAGCAACACCTGGTGAGCACCGTGTGAGCCACCAGAGGTGGGGCTGGAACCCGCGGGGTTTGCTGCACTGGGCACTGGAGCTCGGACACACTGCTGTCCTTGAGCACAACCTGCAAACCTGGCAGGATATTCACGCATTCCCTCTCTTCCTGCGAGACTGCAGTTTTCCAGAGTATTTTCTAGCTCTTACTGTTGCACACAATAGCCTCTGGTTTTGCCTCATGCTTTCTGGGTGTTGGTGGGGCTGTCACAGGCACTTTGAAGACTTTTCTGGTAATCAGCCTGCCATTACCCTTTTTCTTTTTTCATCCCACTGCTCTTGTCATACTTCTCTTGTGACATCTCAGGTTTGAGTATAACAAAGAGATCTTTTTGAAAGGGAAGAATATGGCATGCACAAAGTAACTTGGACAAGTTACATGTGGATTGTGTAAGTGGTCTATCTTCACAACTGTTCTTGAACAGGAGATTTTCAGGGTGAGCATGCAAAGAGGTTGAGAGCTTGATCCTGTAGCAACTGTGAATGCCTGGAGGATTGAGTAATGCAGCCTCCACTAGTGCAGGCAATTAAGGGTTATAAATTCTGAACTCTCCAAACCCCCTCACTTCTCCCTCAGTGCTGTCCTCTCTGCTGTACTGTGTGATGGAAACAGCAGTATCTATCTGTGCTGCACAGGACCAGCATCCATCTCACTTGTAGCACACAGATTGGATCTAGACTATAGGAGAGTTTATGCCTTGCCCTGGGATAGGCAAGGTGGGACAGTGTAGGAAGTCTTACAGCTATTGAACTTTTAATTCCTTGCATTTCTGGTTGCTTTGGCCCATTAGACACTTCCATGTTCTCATGGAAGGAGGAAGTTGCCACAAGAGGAATCTAGCCTGTGTCGGGGCAAACAGCTGGTCAACATAGTGTGTGAGATCAGCACCTCTGTCTTCTGTGAGCACCACCATGTTTTAGCATAGCTGAGATGCTGAGCAGGTGGAAGTGCAGGGGTAAAACTTGTTCAGGATGAGTCAAAACCCATTTTTAAGAGAAGAGTGGACAAAGGGACACGAGAGATGTAGCACAGGTAATAAAAACAACAGCAGCAAAAGTCAGAAGCTTATCTGTTATCATGCTTAGAGTTTAAACAGCAAAGTTCTGCCTGTGGCTGTGGTCATAAGCTTGAAATCATGTGCTCTGAGTCATAGAGACAAAATGGATGAAGGAAAACTGACAGAAAGAGAGAGTTCTGGCATATTAGGTCAGCATGTTTCATCCTTGGCTACAAGGGATGCCTGAGAAGTAACAGAGTAGTTCATACACTCAGCCTGCTTGGTCTTTAATTGCCCAGATGACTGAAAGCTATAACAACCAGTGCCATTAAGGAGTACTTGTAACTGTCCTGGATGAGCTCAGCTCTGGTAAGAACCAAAATTAACCTTATAGGATCATATCACATAGCTTCCAAAATGTATTTGATGACCTGCAGTGGGTATGAGCTAGTAATTTGGAGATGATTTATGCTCAATACTCCTTCTACCAATCACAGATCTTGGTGATGGTGATCTAAAGCAGTAGACTGAGCTGTGCCAATAAACTGCTGGTCTCGACTTGATGTCAGCCAGGAAGAATAGAACTGGTAATGACTAAATCCTCATTTCCTCAGTACTGCACTTACAAAGAATAATAATACCTACCCTTCAAATGCTCCCTATACAAGGTAGACCACAGAAGTCAGCTGGAGTCCCAGCTACTCTGTGTTGTCACGAGACTCCTCATTAGCCTTGTGACTTGTTAAACACAATTCTGTCAAACTTTGTTCTCCAGCCTGCCATTACTTAGATACTAACGAAGCCAACTCCCACTAGCTCCCTTGGGAATCATCATATCTCTCTGCATATGTACTGTGGCAGCAAAAATTTAAGCTTGGATTGTAATCATAAAGAAATTAATTTCCTGATTAAAAATGGTCCTTTAAGCAACATGCATTTGAATAATCCATCATAAAAACAAATGAGTCTGTAGTAGTGCTCTTGACTTGATAACATTTTTCTGCTTTAAATTTAAATCAGCTGCATTTTTTTCCTCTCATTCTGTAGCCTATAGAAAAATACAATGAATTACTAAAAAGAAAGCAATAGTTTGAAACTGCAATAGCCATGGTGTGGAATATATATCTTAGATCTGTCACTGGAAGATAGATTTATATGTCATGGACCTAATAAGATACCCTTCAGACAATTCCACTGACGTTAGTTGTCTTACAGAAAAAGTAAGTTAATGCAGAAAATTCGGTTTCAGATATTTGCAAAGTGTTTTGAAGATAAAAGACCTATACATGCCAGAGTTGATATAGCTCTTGTTGAAATCTGTAGCAAAGGTCCTGTTTAATTCAACAAGAGCTACTGGATTAGGTCTGATTAATGTAGCAGAGGTGTATTTACAAATAATGGCAGTTTGGTAATTTAAAATATTATATATCTCTCCCTATCTGTAGATGTAAACCATTACAGATGTAGACCATTAACAGTTCACAATAGGTACTTTTAAACAAGTCCCTCAGCTTGTATCTGTTAGCTGTTTTCATTGTGTGATGAGCACAAGAAATAGCAGATTTGTGTAGCTGAAGAAAGATGCAAAAAGACTCCTCTAACTTATATGAAAATATGTGACACTGTTCCTGAAACTAAAGCAATGAAAATTTAAATCTCCTTCTTCGTTTTCCCCAATTACAGTTACAGTTTACTAGATGTTTGTACAGTCTGCAATATTTCACATTTTTCATGCCCAGCCCATGCCACAAGCCCTCCAAGTCTCTATTGATAAAATATCAGCTTTTATCAGTACTGGTCTCAACATTAGTAACCTGATAATTCCTCACCTTTTGGTCCAGGTAAAATTGTGTGTGTTGAGCAGACATCTGTTGTAGGTCGATTATCAACATCAAAACCAAAAATCTGAACTTGCAAGATAAAAAACACTACAAGGGTCCCATATTTTGTTAGCTGTTGTTCTTTCTTGCTGCTCATCCTTGCAGTTTCTCAGGAAATGCCTTTCGTTGTTGCAGTCTTAAGAAATGCAGCTGACTCAAAAATAAATGCTTCACTAACTGGAGCAGTGGAAAGCTTGGGAGCTACATGCAAGAACAGCTAAATAAAGTGAAGAAAGGAGTTTGACGATGCTGTAGTTATTTCTGTCCTGCACATTATCCAGGATATTTATTTAACACTGACAGCTGTTTATTCCAATTTATCTCTTATCTGAGTGAGACATTTAGCTGCTTTTGCCATGGAAAATTTCTCCAACATATGGGAATTTCTCTCTTGTAATTTTTTTTTGCCTCTCAGCACTGATTCTTCAAGCATTTCACTTTCTCAAGGGACAAAAGACTTTGGTATTGTATCCAAGTGTGTACTAATTAGCTATAGGATACATTTGGCTGGTTGTGTGCTGGAAGCGTAATGCAGACTTCATATAACATGTAGGGATAGATTTTCATAAAAGCTTTTTACCGAGGAGACTTAGTGACAACAGACGAGCTGCCAGTCCACTGTGGGTGGAAATCCCCGGTGCTATATCTCACCTTTTGGGTGTCAGGTACCCACAGCCCCCAGAGTAGCAAATTGTTGACATTATCCATGGGTGTTTTAGCCTGAAACCCACAAATGATGGGTTTAGACATACAGATAGCTCCACAATGCTAGCCCCAAGCCCAGATCATGTTAGTAGACTGAGTACAGAAGGGACAAACTTCAGGATAGAAGACACAGAACAAGATGAGTTTGAATGACTGCATCACTTTCTCCCATATCACTCTGCCTACACACTGGGAGAAGCCATCTATCAGGACACTGGTGGAGCATAGATCCCAACAGAACATTATCTTTGGCTTGTCCAGAGGAAACTCCAGCTGGTTTGAATCCTGAGGTAACCTTCAGGTGTTCAGCTGGGTTCTGGAATCCTGAAACCAGTGTAGGAAGCCTTCTGGGTGGAGGAACAGGTTGCATGCATCCTTCCTTTTGGAAAGAGCTATGACAGATACCTACCTGTGTGCAATCCCTTCTAGGAAAAAACTCTAGCTTTCTCTTCAGGGGAAGACAGTTACCAGGGATAGGAGGATGTTCAAGGTAGCCGGGCAGAAAAGAAAGGGGAGATGACTATTTGTAATATTTCCAGGAATTTTGTTAACTTCTGTTTTCTCACACAATGAGACCACTACTAAAAAAGCTGAACTAGGCTTTTGAGCGATGTAGTGTGTAAGAATGTGTTTGCTTTCCATCTTAGGAAAAAATGTATTTCTTACGTTAATAGCTTTTGAGCGGCTTTCCTCATTATTTAAGAGAGTATTTGGTTCCCTAGTCCTGTGTTTCAGCCTTTAGGCATACAGAATAAGTAGCAGTACTGATGTAAAAGCGAATACCTTTACTTAAAGTCTGAAGGAAGGGTCTGACTTCTGGATTTCATCTGTAATAATATGGTGGCCAAAGTCCCAAGAAGGGTCAAGATACTTCTCTCCCTTTTTCTTTCTAGCCTGCTCACAGACTGTCCCCCTTTCCAAAACACTTTTTTTTTCCCTTGTTAAACTGTGTACAGTGCTTTTCAGAAATAAATAGTGGTCTCTGTCAATCTAACATCCCCCCTCAAATGTGGCCTGGCTAACAGGTACACACAGCTAGAAGGGGAGGAAAGACAAAGCCAAGATTATAGTCGAGTAGAGTCATCCCAGAAATAAACTTATTCCTCTGTGATTTGCATTGGGCACTGTGCCTCTGACTTATACACTGTTAATTTGTTTTATTTAACTTTTTCTTCTCTTCACTTTCCATTTTGTGAGCAGAAGGTCAATGTAAGAGCAAGAATAGAGAGCGTAGGAGTGGGAAGCTAGTGCACTTAGTGTTGGAGGAGGCATTTTGGGAAATGTTGCCAAACTGACATGAATGATGCTATCTGTTCCATGGTACTGAAAGACTTACAGTGACTTGTTTGTTATTTATCAGGGATAAAGAGGGGTAAAGTGTAAATGAGAGAGGAAATAATTTATTTAACTACTTCAGTTACTACCCAGGACTAAGCAGGGAACATTTTTCTGACAGTGGTGTGATCATTTACAAATGTTTTAAGTCCACTTTAGAAAATAAATCAAGACTCTACTCTTCCCCAGCCCCCACCTCCCACCCCCTCCCCACCTTCCCTGACAGTCACAAGGCCCCTGAAAGTACTGTGAGAAATTAGATTTAGTGGATCTGAAAACTTGGTAAATGAAAACACTTACTCAAAATGTATGAGATCCAAGTTTTAATTATTTCTCTGCCTAGTTCAAACTAGTGCTTGCAGTACAGCCTTAAGGTTATATTGCTTTATTACAAGGGTGTGTGCTAATCAGTTATGTCTTCCTATGTGTTGGATCAGGAATGCTGTCCTGGAGCTAGAAAATCTGCCTTAACAGGCAATCCATCAAAACTGATGTACTACCACTAAAGCTTGGGTTTTGGCAAATCAATATTTATCAAACCAGTTTCACTGAAAAATCTTCAAGCAGCTTCATTGCTGATGGAGATTTAATGAAGCAGAGTGCCTATTGTGAATGTTAATTCTCATTGAATCAGGCTTAAAAAATGACTGTAGGCAAGAAAGAAAAACAAACTAGGCCACATCATCCAGATGTAAAAGTCACAAAACAAATGCTTCCAAGGGCATTAATATTTTACAAGGAAACCCTGAAAAGGCACAAAAATATCCAGAAAGATTCTGTTCTTTGAGATGAGCACTAGTCAGGTAACCTTTGTCTTGTGCATAGTCTATTTAGAGTCCAAGTAATTTCCTTGGAGATTTGCATAACCTTCATTTGCTTTCTCTTCAGATGTTAGTAGTTAAATGTAAACAGACTGTAAGGAGCACAGACAACATCCTGAAATACTGTTCATCAAAAGGTGGCCAGACCTACAGCCAATTTTCATAATTTGTAGAGTCACAGATCCTGTGGTGGCCTGCAGGTTACTACATCCTGCTTGTAACCATGGGCTGATTCAGCCATAAGTGTTGAGAACCTGCTGGCATCATTTCTGACCCAAATTCAGCATAAAGGAGAACATTCCCCTTCTGTACCTTACTGTACTGAATAAACCTGGGAGCACCTGAATTAAAAAAAAAAAAAAAAAAAAAAAAAAGAGGGGAAAAAAAAAAAAAAAAAAAAAAAAAAAAAAAAGGGTGTAATATTCCTTTGCTTTGGGATCCTAGATGGTTTCTCTTCTCATGTCAGGGGTCATGATGATTTGGAGTGTTTCATTCTGTCATACCAGGCTGTTTTGTAAAGTGCCAGTTTTGGTTTTGCCGCCATGCAATGCCTACTCAAGCCTGTAAACACAGTTTCCACCAGTTGTTGTTCTTCTGATTAAGATATAAGCAATGACTAGATTTTGATATGCCTGAAAATAACTGACAAAAACAAGCAACCTAAGGCCAAAATTGTTCAAAATCTTATGGCTTCTATGTTTAGTAAACAGAACCTGTAGGTCTCTAATGATTATAGATCATCATCCAACATCTTGTTGGATGTTTGAGAGACTTCATCAGCCTCAGCTGTATGGAAATTTGCACTCCACTGTCAGCTATTATCTCTCTGGTTTCTTGATGATGAGTTTGGCTCTCTGTTGAGCTGGGTGCCTTGAGGGATGGGTGTGGGCTTTTCTGGTCTGACACAAGGATGGCAATTTTGGAAAATCTTAGGTCTGCACTAGAGCCTACAACCCCTTCTTGGGATGCCCCTACCTCTCCTTTCCCACTCCTATTCCCCTCAGCTTTTAGCCCTTAAACAGAAAAGCTGACACAGGTTCCAGCTGTACATATCTGCTGTGAGGCAGGAGAACAGAAGAGCTGGTCAGCACTGAACTCTCATAAGGAGCTCAGGTTGCAGACCACAGATTTGGAGAGCTGCTGGATGCTTTATGAGGTGCAGCACTGAACCCTGGACCTCATCTGGTAAACAGACCTCAATGGTGTGTAACTTCTGCTCACTCAGGTTGCACTGCATTACAACTTTTTGTTCCTAACTTTTGCACTTAGCAAGAATGTCCTGGCTCACAGTGAATGTTTTATAAACACTTCTATTGTGAACACTTGGATTGAGAATGCTTCTCTATTAGCCTGCAGGCTTTCTGTTCTGCTGAAGACACCTTCGACATAATGACACCAGTCTTTCAGAGAGGTCTAAGAGATACTTATTGCTATTGTTTTCCATACAATCACTCAGAGAAGCTATCAAAAAATGTAAGGCATTCACGTATGTAGTCAGAGATGTGATAGAAATGAAATACTCAATGTGGCTTGTAATTGTGTTTATTTAAGTGCAGCCTCTTCCTGTGTCAGAACAGATTTTTGCAAACAAGAGGGCAATGATTCAGTTCCAGGGGAAGACTGACAAAATAAACCCCAGCTTCTACTGACCATGCAGTGCTGAACAGTATCCTACCCTGGGAAAATATTTCCTGCTTAATTTTCATAAATATTTATGTAATTCCTTCTGGGAAACATGTCTTCTTCAGAAAACTAAACATGCTGCTCCCTGACATAAATTTAACTGTTTGTTTACACATGAGAGATTATAAGCATGTACCCAGCCTCAGATTTTTACATTCTTATCTCAGGCATTTCTGTCTTTTAAAGTTCTTTACTTTCCTCCTACAGATCACATAATGTCTTGAGCTATGGAGCTCATTTCTGACTCTGGAATTTTAACATCACTGATGCTCTTTGGAGAGTTGTTATTTTGGGCTGCAGAAATAGGAACCAAATATAATGTTCTGCCTGGAATCACTCTTCTGTCCTGCCTAGTTATACCTTTCCCATCCTGGTTTGAGGCTCCTTTCTTAAAAAATTAAAAATCATGTAACCAATTAAACAGAGGATTGCATAGCTAATGAAATAATTTATATTTGGAAGCAGACCTGGACACACAGCTATGAACTGAAATATCACTGGCGTGCAGTCTTTTGTGTTTGCTTTCTAAGTTTATAGTATGGATTAGTGGCAAAGCAGTGCACAAGTTGCCCCAAGAAAACAGAGATATACTTCCCACCATGACAAACTGAAAAAGGTTGATTCTGCTTTTTTTAACACTTCTTAAGATAACAGAAAAGTGGCTGACATTGCAACACAAACTGACAGAACCTTGTACAAAGCC